TTCTCAATAAGCTTTCTAGGGTAGAAAATAGCATCAAACTTCTTCCATTTCTTCTTCAAATTGAAATCAACAATCAAAGGTGAGTTCATACCCCTTTATTTTTGGTTTTCATATGTTTTATGGGGGAGAATACAAGTAAAATGTGTAGATCTATGTGTATGTGTATGTTATGTGTGATTTCATGTGTTTATGTGGTAAATGTGTAACAGAAAGAATAGAAATTCGAGATCTATGGCTCTAAGAGGAGGATAAACATGATCTAATAAGTATTACACTTAATAAAGTCAATAAAAATTACCCTCTAAGATTAAAATATACATATTGCAACATAAAATCCATTTTTTGGGCTAAAATTGTCAAACAAACAAAAGTTGGGTTCAAAGATTGCTATTCACAGTTTTCTCAAGGATTACAAGAGTCAAAACAGTAAAAATAAGTGTTTTTATGAATATCATACTCTTTTAAGGGCTAGAAGTGTAAATTGTAGCTTAATGGGCCAAATTTGGGCTATTCGGCCCATTAAGCCATAAATTGCGAAAATCTCAACTTTCAAGGGGTTTAAATGACAAAACTCTCAAAACAAGGAGTAAAAGGGTGAATAAAACTAATTCAGGGGTTAAAATGATGTATTTTCCAAACAAGGATAAAAAATGTAAACTTTTTGGATTTTGGGCCAAAATTGTAAAAGTTGCAAAAAGTTTGGGCTTTAACCGAAAAACACTTTTCTAGAAGGGCTGAAACTGATAAAAGTAAATTTTGAGCTAAAATCATCACATAAACAAAGTCTATGGGTCAAAATTGACAAGAAAATGGTTTTAGGGCCTAAAATGTCTTTTTTCATATATAAGGGACTAAAATTATCATTTTTATTAAGGAAGGGCTGAAAAGGTCAAACCAATATTTGAGTCAATTATATTATTTTTATGATATTTGGGTAAAAAAAAATACCAAACCACAACTTGTGAAAAATGGAAATATGAATATAGATAAATTTCCAAATAGCGTTTATAAACGACCGACCGGTCTCGTACCGATACAAATTTAACAATTGTTCAATTTAACATTCCGACAACTATACTATACCTAAAACAAGTAAACATTCAAATCTTTGGGCTTGAAAGTTCCAATCTTGCTTGTTGGGCCTTTGTGACCCATTAACATGATATTTGGGCCCAATGGATAATAAAAAGCGTTATTGGGCCTTCTATGACCCAATTTCATATTTAAGGGACCCTCAATGGCTTTTAAGTGCTATTGGGCCTTAGTGGCCAATTAGCATTGCTAGTAAGGTCCAAGTAAATCAAATGTGAAATGGGCCAACGTGTCCTTCGTATAATCAATAGCCATAAATAATACGCAGGAATAGTAGGACCTTGTAATCCTCTTCTCCTCGTTTGTTAGGCCTATCGTTAATCCAAGTAAACAAATACGGGTCGATAATCAATAGTAATCAAAGTAAATTGGAATTTAGTGATTAATAACGGGTGGCACCATTGTGTGTAGGTCGTAGTCTGTAGTTATAATCAAAGTCTCCTAGAGGGGGAGCGAGAGTTTGTGTATAGATCTATACGGGGGTGACTCCCCCACACCTCAGTTGTTCGCTACAGTTAGACCCGACTAGTCTAGGGTAACAAAATCTTAAGATCAATTCCGACATTCACCAGAGTGCCGAGACAGACGAACTAGTCATTATCATGCATGGTTATAACGACTCACATAAATAAATCCAATACTAATCAAGTAATCAAGATAAATCAAAATCATTCAAGGGATGGGATAACAATACGAACAGTTATACGGTATTTTTTTTAGAAAACATCGGGTTTTCCGGGGAAGTTCAACACTTTTCACTGGTAATTTTAATATGAAGTTTTTCAACTATACATGTTTTGAAATCATCATGCATATATTACACAATGGTCTTTTTAGAAAATATCGGATTTTCTGGATTGTTTTCTTACAAATTACACAAAACATTTTCATATCAAACCTGCTTATGAACTCACCAACATTCCATATGTTGACCGTTTTTCAAAACAACTTGTATTCTCAGGTAACAGGTAAACTGAGGAGTAGTACCAAGTATGTTAGAGTGTTGTGCTTTTGAAAACTATCAAACGTTTTTTTTTATGGAATTGTAATGTTGAAAGAATGTAGTTGATGTGAACAATGCCAGTTGTAATATATTGATTCATGGTGATGCTTATGTTATGATTCATGTATATTCATTGTCATGATATTCAAATTTAGTCACGTGAGCCCTCGGACGTTTCCACCGTCTGGTTCGGGGGTGTCACAGATATTAGAAATCATATTCCTTCATTGTGAGTGATATTGAAAAAATGTTTTATTCCTAAGACATTTTTCCCAACAAGCTCCAGTAATTAATTTTTTTTATGGAATATGATTCCCATTTGAATATATTTTTGCACCTTAGTCACTTTACAATTAATCCTACCTTCACTTGTCCCTGACCACACTGGCCATATAGGTAATTTTGATCATTTAACTCACACTTATGTTAAGTTGTGGTCATGAACAAAATTGAGTCTACCTTTGAAGCCTAAGTAAAAGAAGCCATTCAATACTCATTCACGAGTATTTGATTTTACTTCACGGGATACCACACAAGCGGTTTGATGTCTCTCTTAATGTAGAATGAAGTGATCTTTGCCTGGAATCTATTTGCTTTACATCGAATGATGTCACTATATGCATATTTTTTATTTTGGTTCTCGCTATATCTTTGGCACACATTTGCATTGAAATCCTCAATGTCTTGGGTAATACCAACTCAAACCTAGATTTTGAAAGTTTGACTATGATTTCGTCTCTCATCCCAAAAGAGAATAAGCTCTGCCTCGAAATGAAGGTCAAGTGATGGTTCTTATCCTATTGGGGAAAACGAAAAGTTTGATGGATGTGACGGTTTAGTTTCTTCACGATTTTCAAGGGAAAAGTCCTCATTACTTTTTTTAGACGTGGCGACTTTTACGGAAATTGGCCCACTCTCCAAGACTACACGTGGTAGAATTTCATTGGTGATCATTTCAAATTCAAAATGTGCATTGAGTATAAAAGGAATTTGGTGGAATAAAATCAAAACTTTATGCAATCTAGTTTAATTTTTCCCCAAATCTTCTTTCCTTCTACTCATCTTTTTACACAATTCTCCAAAACCCTAACAATGGTGACACAACCTGGTCATGTTAATCCATCCAACACAATTGAAGATGCAACATCACAACCGTTATTGAAGATTCAAGGTTCCAACTATAGGGTTCAATATGATGTTTCGAAATATCCGAAACCACTACAAATGTTGATTGTTGCTCTCAATCACTCTATGCTCTCAACTATAATGTCTTCTTCTTTCTCAGTACCAATGACTTGGTTATCATTAGCTGATTTAATTCTTGTTTTCAATAAGACAACAAAAATGGTGACGGTTTATTTAACGAATGACAAGAAATACATGCTAATGAAGAACCAGTTTGCACAAATTATGAAACTTCCAGTTACAGGTCTGTTATTTGAGCTTTCAGTTGAACAGTGGTCTCTATGCTGAATGAAATGGGTCATCAACCACCACTTACAGGACTTAGTCAATTTTGCAAAACTAACTTCCCTGTATTTGGAATTTCTTATTTGGGGTTTTCATTCGTTGTTTGACGGGTAGAAGTTCAGGGCTTGACAAAGCGAAACTGGAAGTATATGCTATGATCGCAAGACTCTATTATGATCTTAATGTCGATTATGCTAGTCAATTATAGGAAGAGTTTGGTACTGGCATTAGTCATACTAGTTTTGTGAATGGATTCTCATGTGCAAGATATTGGAGTTTGATACTGAGGGATATTTATGGGAAAGAGGGTATTATGGTTCCTTCTAATGATGCAAAGTTGGAATTCATAATCTATCAGGCATCTAAGGTTATTAATGATGATCCTCTCTTGTTTCCTAATGTGGCTCGAATTCTGAATGCCATGTTAATAAAAGAGGATCCTACTAATCATATTCGCGTACACTACTTGAAAACCATCAATCCTGATATTCAAGTGGGGGTTATATTGCCTAAAGGCGTTGAAGGCACTTCGAAGGTTGGAAAAGCTTCTAAGAAGTCAAATAAGCCTGAAAACAGATTGAGAAGGATGTTACGAAACCTGTTCATGACCCTATTCCAAAAGATGTTCAAAAGGAATTTGCTCCTTTGAAAACAGGTGTTCTTAAACGAACCTAGAAGCGAGCGCATAGACCTTGTCACTCACCAGAATGACTAATTTTTGAAGAAATTCATGACGAGCCTCTTTCTTCACCAAAGGGGGGGCTCTATTTTGAAAGTCAAGAAAATTCAAAAACTCCAGCTTAATCGAAGGGGTGTTATCATTCGTGAGATAACAACTCCTGTTTCTCCTAATTTGAAGAAACATAGAGCACATGCCATCGTGAAAAAGATTAAGAAGAATAAGAAGTAATTAGAAGATCCTCTTGATGAGGTTGTTATGGAAACTGATTTTGAAAGTGGGAGTGGTCATTCTCCTATTTGAACTGATGACATTGGCTTAGCATCACCACAAAGGCACTCTCTAGTCAATTCGACTATTGAGGTGACTGGAAGTCTTGGTGGAATTGTGACAATATCTCATACAGACACAACCACTAATTTAAGTGATCCTACAACAACTACCATCCCTAAGAAGACTGTACTCCTAAAACTCGAGGTCTCGATGGATGAATCCCTTACAGAGGAGGTTCGAACCTCAGGCATCACTGTAAACATATCTAATATGGACACAAATGTCAACAAGGGTGAAGGGGTGACGAATTTCGAAGCTTAATGTACCACTATGGTTGCAACTTCATCGATTCCTACTTCACTTATTTTAACTTATGCCATCGAAACTACACTCATCGATACTTCTACAACCTTACCACCATTTCATACACCCATTGAATCTTCCTTGCCTACTTCAACCATATCACCTACGTATTCCAAGATCATGAATCAACCCATTACTTCTCTTTTCACTTCTCAATCAACCAAGGGTGAAAAGTCAATTCCCGAAAAAGATCATGATGAAGATGACGTGATGGTCTCTTTTTGCAGAGATTTAATTTGACCTAAAGGAGGATAACATTCTTGATCATATCCATATCTCAGGAAAGCAACTCAAGATTTTAAATCAAAAACTGAATTCGTTGATATGATGCTTAAATCCCAAGAGCTATGGTTGAGTTGGCCATGGAGAAATTTTAAAGGAAACATGAAGATCATTTGAAGCTTCACGCAAGTAAATTTGAGTATGAAGTTCAGAAGCTTCGTGATGTAGCTAAAGAACATCATATTCTTTTTTTTGAAGAAGTAAAGAAAGTGGAGGAATCTGTTAATCAAAAAGTGGAGGTCCTCAAGTGTGAAATGTTGAAGGAGGTTGCTAAGATTGAACAAAATTATTTGACTCTTCATGTTAAGATAAATGTTGTTGTTGAGGCTATCAAGAAACTTGTTGAGTATTATACTTCTTTTACTACCAAGTTTGATACCCAAATTGATGTTGATTCGAAGGTATTTGCAAAGTTGGAAGAATTTGTGGGGAGCCTGAAGGAGTCTATTTCAAAGCTTGATACTTCTCATACATCTTTTGTTACTCAGGGTTCCCTATCAAATATGTTTTCTTCCTTAGAAACATATCTTAAAGTAGAACTTGCTCCTTTTCTCAAACTTGTTAATTTGATGCCATCAAATGCCCAACCTTTCAAACCAGTGGTGCAAGGGGGAGATAAGGGGGTTGGCTCATCGAAGGATCATGATCAAGGAAACATTGCTGGGAAGGTGATATCCATTCAAATCGTTACATCACTTCCTGTCTCTATGTCAACAACTTAATCCATGGTGATTTCGAGGCCATTAACCAAAGGCATAGTCATTGGTGCTACTATTAGGGTTCGAGTTCAAAGCCACCGCCTTTGAAGCAATATAAAGGTGATAGAGGAAAAGGAATTGAGAAAGGAATTTCGGAGGAGGAGAAAAAGAAGAATAGTGAAAAAGAAAACGAAAGATAGAGGGAGACTAATAGCATCATGAGACAAAGGAAAATTGATCGACCAGGTTTTGATAAGGGTGATCCAAACAAACAATTTTGTTACGAGACCATCGAACAAATTGTTTCTTCTGGTAATATGCACGATTCTAAAAAGGCTCCGAAAAAGATTTTTGATATAGAAAATACTGATTTCAATCAGCTGGATTTTTCCATCAATCAGATGATGTTTTTCTTAACTCAATATCAGTTGGTGGATAAGTTTGAAGATATATTTCATGCGGTTCTTGGAAAGAAGGAAGAGGAAGTCTGGTTCTTGGTGAAAATTGTCAAAGTTCTGAGTATTTCCTAGGATACATTGTTTGAAGGCTTGTTATAGAACTTTCGATGCCATGTGGTTCAAGCTAACAATGTCTCTTGTGATTTCTTAGTGGCAGATTCCCTTCTCATGAATCTGAATAATTTCATTAATGTTGCGACGTTATTGAGTGTTGTCAACGTGTCAAAACTTCAAGTTAATAGCAAAGAAGATTTCTTGATTCATTTTGCACATATTAAGTTGTTCATAGACAATTACTATGATTGTCTAGCTTTAACAGATGTTAAACTTTCTTTGGAAAGGAATAGAACATTGATAGTGCCTCAGTCGATGCTGAAAGGTTAGGGGAGTCTCAAGAATTTTGAAGATGGAGAGATTTTTCTGAAACCCTATGGGTGGTATATATTCATGTAGGATAGCCTGATAACTCATGATCTAGGCTTTCTTGGTTGTTCCATGTTTGGTTGTGGCTCTAGAGCAGGATTGCCTATTTGAATGTCTATCTCACCTTCGATTACATATAGTTATGTATTTCTTGGGGTTTGGTCGATAGTGGCATAGTGTACTCAATGAGGCCTAGTATATTGTAGTGAGTTGTTAGACAGTTAGACTAGTGTAAATAGTTGCTCATATTTATGTTTTTACTTGATTGCTTTTTTGTTATATATGTTGACATATTGGGTGGTGGGTTGAGGCGGTCCTTCATTGTGTTTTAGGATAAGATACCTACGCGGGCCATTGGTATGCTGTAATCCAGGTGTGGATCAACTATATGTTAGGAAATAGCAATCCAAGTGTACTCTAGGCCTTGCAAGGTGGTCCATTAAGACTGTAGGCTTAAGAGAGCGGTCGAGACATGATGTAGGCCTTGTGAAGTGGGCCATAAAACTTGAAGGTGGATGTGTGCATGCGATGTATATGTATTGTGGTGTGGAGTATTCTGGGGGAACTCATTAAGCTTTGGCTTAGAGTTGTGGATTAAATGTTTTTCAGGTACCATTGGTGATTGTGGGAAGATGAAGGCATGACTGTACACACTCATCAACAACATTGTAGATTCCAAATTATTTATATTACTCTAATTTCTAACAGTTGTATTTTGGAACAAATAGGTTTTTCTTAACTTGGGTTTTGTGTGAATGGTATTTTTACCTTATTTAAAAATGAAACATTTGTTTATGAAAAGGGGACATTTCACAAGATACTGACACTCATGGAGGGGCCAAAGCCGAAGACTCATACTGGCATTTGTAGTTTCTTGGGTTTGGAGGGTTATTATCAGAGATTTATCAAATATTTCTCCAAGATCATGGGTGATTTAACCAAGTTGATGAAAAATACAAAGTTGTTTGTTTGGTCTGATAAACTAGAGGATGTATCTTATATATCAAAGAAGATCTTGTGTGAAGCTCCTCTTATCTCTCTTCCTGATGGGATTGAGGAATTTATGGTTTATAGAGATGTTTCATACTTAATATTGGGTTGTGTGCTTATGCAATATGTAAGGTGATCACCTATGCTTCCCGACAACTGAAAAGCACTAAAATCAATTACTCAGTGCATGATTCGAGTTTACAATTGTTGTTTTTGCACTCAAGTTATGGAAACATTACATGTATGGAATGAAGTTCACATTATAGATTGATCATAAGAGTTTGCAACATAATCAAAATTAGAATGATTTGAATATGAGAATATGATGCTGAGTTGAATTACTTGCAGATTACGACGGAGAGATTAGTTACCATCCAGGGAAAACAAATGTGGTAGCTGAGGCTCTAGGTCGTAAGGTGCCAAGGATGTCTTATCAGCTGAAGTGTATGGGGATGGTTGTGGTTCTGGTATATTTAAGCAGTTACGGGTTACTCAAACTGAGGGTTTGAAAAAAGACCATTTGAATGATGAAATAATGGTTAACCAGCAAGTGTGTTTAGTTCATGAAATTCAAGGAATTAGGACCTTTCAGGGTAAATTGTGGGTTCCTAAGGTGGGTGGAAAAGGTGACATACTGTTACGAGACACACATAGGTCGAAGTATTCAATCCAACTAGGCATGAAGAAGATGTATCGAGACCTAAAAGCCAATTATTAGTGGCCGGATATGAAGAGTGAGGTAGAAAAGTATGTGTCAGAATGTGTGACTTGTGTGCAAGTCAAGGCTAATCACCAACATTCCTATGGTGATTTGCATTAACCAGAGGTTCCCGATTGGAAATGGGATAAGATTATGATGGATTTGGTCACAAAATTACCAAAAACTTTGCAGGGTAATGACATGATTTGGGTGATAGTCGATCGGTTGACAGAAGCACTAGCTTTTTGGCATTAGAGGAGAATGAGAAGTTGGAAAATTTAACAAAGATGTACGTAGAGGAGCTAGTTACATGACATGGGGTATTAATATATATCATTTCAGATCGTGATAGCCTGTTTGCTTCAAGATTTTGACAAAAACTTCGAAAGGAATTGGGTATGAGAGTGCATTTCAGCACAACCTATCATCCCTAGACTGATGGGTCGAGCGACAGGACCATACATACTCTCGAGGACATGTTACGAACTTCTTTTTATTGATTATGGTGGGAGTTGGGACACTCATTTTCCCTTGGTGGAGTTTTCCTATAAAAATACTTACCATTACAGTATCAACATGGCACCATATGAGATGCTCTATGGGAGGAAATGTCGCACTCGTATGTGTTGGTTAGAGCTAAGGGAGAAATAGTTGATGATTTTAGAGATTATGCAAATTACCAAGGAGAACGTAACGATAACTTGTGATTGCGTGCATATGGTATAGGAAAGGAAAATGAAATACTCATATCAGAAGCACAGTATGAAGACCTTCGAGGTAGGCGAGAAAATAATGTTGAAGGTCTTACCTTAAAATGGGATCATTCTCTTCGAAACTGAGGCAATTTAGGACTTCGTTATATCAGTCCACTTATTGTGTTGGAGAATGTTAGCGGTAAGGCATATAGATTAGGGTTACCGCCAGATCTAGAGGGGATCCGTGAAGTGTTCCATGTATGTCACCCGCGGAAATGCTTAGCTGAAGAATCGAGCATTCTGCCACTGGATGACTTGTGAGTTGATGATTCATAGCGACTGGTGGAGGAACCCGAGGAAATATTGGAGCGTGAAACCAAGCAGTTGTGGAAGAAGCAAGTAAAGCTCGTGAAGGTCTTGTGGAAGAACAAACATGGATGAGATATGACTTGGGAGCTTGAAGATGATATGAGGGCTTGTTATCCCTACCTATTCATTCTAGTTATTGATTCGGGTACAAAATCCTCTTAAGGGGTGGGGGAGGATTCTAACTACCCAAAGTTTTCCTTTTCATTATAAAGGTTAGTTTTCCATTATGTAATGTTGCTAAATCACTTTTTACATGGTTAAAGTTAACTTTGAGGGGCTAGAGTGCAACAAAAATGATACTTGATCATATACATGGGTCATGGGGTCATTTTCTCACACTTAAGGGGCCTAAATTGAAAGTTATGAAGTATTTAAGCCTCCCTAACCCTACAATCCGGGATTAAACCCTATGTGGCAGCTACCTCTCTAAATTCAAGTGTGTTCTTTGATTCCTTTTTGTCTTTAAGTATTAGTATGAAGCATGTGAAGAAGGAGTGAAGTTCTTTGTGTTTTGGTGGAATCTTGGTGGTATTCTTGAAGCTTCTCTCCTAAGAATCATCTTATTGGGATCATTTATGGATTTTCCAGAAGGTAAAAGTCGTTTCCATGGTTTAAGTGTATAGGTTGGCCCCTTTCATGTCCTAATTGTTCTAGGCTTCTAGTTATGGTCCTTATGGGTTAAGATGATATCAATGGAGATTCTGATTGGACCCAAATCAAGCAGAACAGGACAGTCAATCTATTTCTTCATTTCTGCAATGGCAAGTTTCCACGTTGTGGACACCCATTTGCCATGTCGTGGCGATGGGGAATTGATCGATCCAAATCGCATCTGATTCTCGAACCACGGCGTGGACATCAAAGTTCCATGATGTGGTGATGAAAAATGATCAGGCCAACATCACGATGGACACTCTGACCATGGTGTGACACCCACTTTACCACGACATGGATCATGTCTAAAAATAATCATTTTTATTTTATATTATGTTTTTTATCAGCTTTTTGTGTAATTTCTTAGGGGTGTTAGATTACTTTCTTGAAGGTGTTTTTCCTCTGTTCTTATCTCCACATAACTTGGATAAGAGGTGGGCTAATTTCTTGTGGTTGTTTAGGCATTGGTATGGAAAATTACATGCTATTGTATAGATGTTAAGTCTAATTAGTTTTGTGTGATGGTATAAACTGAATGTATGAGAAGTATGCAATTTTGATTATAAAGTATTGGCAGAAAACAATTGATTTAGGAGGACCTTGTGTGCGAGAACTATTAAATTGATTAACTTATTCAAAAGTGAGTGTTAGGGTCATGCTAGTAGTGATGCTATTCAAGTTGTTAAAATTTGATGATTTGCATGTTATATTTTTGTTCTTTAACACTTAAATGAAACTAAGAAAGGCATGCTAGAAGTTGGTAGTTAAAAGGTGTATGTCTTATATGCTATAATTTGATGATTTTGAGAATAAACTCTTGTTGCATGATATGAGATGTAATATTTATTGGATTAATAATAATAATTAACAAGAATGATTAAATAATGATATACGTGAGGTGTGTGTATGCC